AATGTACATTGTTATTCATTGATAATGTGTGACCAGATTATTGAATCAGTGAGTTGAACTCTTCAAACCTATCAGACTGATTCATGAACGTATCATTCAGACCGGTTTTGTGATTCATTGAAAAGACCCAACTTTCAAGAATGATTCTTTCACGAATCAGACATCGCTACATCTCCCATAAATGTACCCATGCTAGGGCTGCACAATTAATCAAATTTCTAATCGCGATTACAATTACGGATGCCACATTTACATAATCATTCAAAGCAGCAATTAATCGTTCAAAGTCCTCTTATGTTATTCTGCATGCTTAAGATGCTTTTTTTCTTTGTAAATGTTATCTTAAGGGTTTTTCCATTGTTTTAATATTAGTTTTAGTATAACATTATAATACCAGGCATAGTTTACCTTTTTATTTAAAGGGGTGGTTCACTGTTTTTTTTCTAGTCTTGATTGTGTTTATGTGGTGCAGTCTAACATGTGTTAATGCTTCGTTTAAAAAAAAAAACGCATTATTTTTCACATAATTGACCTTTATTCCACACCGCTCTGTCCCTTCTCTGAGAAACACGCTGATCATTTCCTGCTTTTATGAAGCCCCTCCCTCAGAAATAGGCGATGGGCTCTGATTGGTTAGCTAGCCCAGTGTGTTGTGATTGGCTCAACCGCCTCTAGTGCGTGTCTAAATGTCCCACCCCTCACCTCAGCGGCATCCGGCATGAGCTCCGGTTGTATTGTAAACAACGACGTCGTTAATATCGCTTATCAGTTTGAGCCCGATTGAGAAGCAGAGGATTTTATTGAAGAGGATTGTGCAGAACCTGTGCAAGCATGGCTTTTAATGGTAGGCCTATGTTTTTTGTTTGTTGTTGTCTCATACTTTTTGATACGCTATTATTTAAATTGCTACTGCTTATGTTAGCTTTTAATATACGGTTTTATCCTGATTAAAGCTTTAATACAGTACGGCAACTGAATCGCAATATATGAATATATATGAATATATAATATATGAATCGCGATTCATATATGAATAAATTTTTACGTGCACCTCTAGTTTTCTCTTCCTCTTCTCTAAAGCAGCGCAGCATGGCCTTGCCCCCTTTGCTGCCTTTTCCCGAGGACGGGGTTTATCTGGGTTTGTGATGTCACGAACCCGGGAAGTAGCTCGTTGTAGTCCCTACCAGCCATTTTTGTAGGCATTAAACTGGCAGAATTTTAAAAGATATCTCCGTTTGCATTGAATTTTCAGCTTCGTAACTTCGCAGATATCGTTTGTGCTCAAACAGCAACATTACACAATAACTAATGTTAAAAAAGTGAAATCGCAATCAACCACCCCTTTAAAGAAGAAACCAATCCAATGTATAGTTGACGTTTGAGGCTTAATACTATAGAGAAGCAATAAATATTTTTCAGTTATTGTTTTCAGCTTGTTTATTTTCATATAAAAATATGACATGCCGTTGCTTCAAACAAAGGTGTAAACATTAATTTAATCGCAATTAATAATCGCAATTACAATTTCAAAGGAATAATCTACAATTATGATTTTTGTCATAATTGTGCAGCCCTAACCCACGCTACTGTTTGGCTTCACAAGAGTCATCTGGACCACTTTTAGGATGCCTTAATAGTGCTTCTTTCATTCTTTTGAAGCTTGAAAGCTTCATTGTAATTGCATAGAGAAAAGCATGGAAAATTGCCTTTAAATTTTCTCCTTGTGTGATCCATGAGAGAAATTCACATGGTTTTAGAATGCCATAAGGGTGAGGAAATGATGACAGAATTTTCATTTGTTAGTGAAATATTCCTTTGACCAAAATGGACCTTAATTGGAAAATTATGTTCTTGTAAACATGGTTATTGATTTTGAGCTCTCTCTGATGCAATATTCATATTAGAAAGAATCAAGAGTCAGCATGGACTCAATTTTGAAAGTTATATTTATTTGTGAAGTCGCCTCGGGTTGAATTACTCAAAGCCCAAAACAGTCTTAGCCATGGCCATGATGCTTGACTGAGACAGAGAGCTATGATAGTGACTAAGTTAGTTTACCATTGCGGAGCACAGCCAGCTCTGTCATCTGCTGTGCATTTGCAGATAACATTTGTTTGGGGATATCAGCAGGGATTATGTTCTTGTTTCGGCTTGGACTGGTCATCTCAGCACACTGTAGTAGAAAAGCATGGGGCTTGAAGCGGGAAACATGAAACAAGATGAATAATCAAATAAAAATAAAAGCTTTTCCTTCTCTGCCCCTGTTGTCAAAGCAAATCATGGTTCCTCAAAAAAGAAAAAATGGTGGAGTCAATTGATTTCTTAATCAACAAGACTACTTGGTGTGTGAGTCCAGTAGTAAGATTTTATCCCGATCCCAGCCAGAGACTTCAAAGCCAGACCGATTATACCGACTGCTTTGAACGTCTTATTCTGAAAGAAAGCTTCCATTATTTTTTCCTCCACTAAAAAAAAAAAAGGAAATGAAATATGATTCGCTGTTGTGTTCCTCATGTAACCATCTGGTTTTACTATCTAAAAACAAAGGATCCCTTAGAGAATTGCAGGCAGGGCTGCACTGCGTAGAAAACGATATAATCATTGTCAAACATTGTTCGATTTATTTACGACTCAATTACAAGCACTTCTGTCATTAAACTGCAACTGTCAAGGGGTTTCCCAAACATTTCTTGCCACTCATAATCATTTGTGTAAACCATGATAAATAATTTCGAAAGAACATCATTTATTTGAAATAGAAGACTTTTGTAACATGAGTGTCTTTTGAATGTAACAATGCATGAAAATAGTCTTCTTTAGCTTCAGACAAGTGTACTAGCATTTGGAAAGAGGACATGCAATGTGTGCTTGTGAGGTTCCTCTCGTGTTTTGCGGTTGAATTTGGCCACTGTCATTTGAGTGGAACTTCCTGCCATCTGCATTCAGTCGAATTCTCTCACTGTTTCAGTCTTGCTTGTAAATATTGGAAGCAGCCTAAAGTGAATGCCATACTCGGTAATGTGGGCCAATACAGTTGTGTTCAGAGCGTGTTTTTGGCCACAGACAGTGACAGGACAGCTATTGACCCTGTATTGTTTGATTTGTTATTGGTCGATTTTGAGAATTTGCCTTTTATTTCTAGTTAACTAAAATTAATCAAGCTAATAGGACTGCTGAGAGTGTACAGTAAAACTCACTTTCTTTTTTGGTGCTGACCATTAGCTGTCATACTGTAGGAATGCTCCAAATGAAAATATTAGCCTTGACTCATACAGTCCAGAAATTTGAGCTTAGAACATTGGATACTGTACAAGACTGCATTTCACTTTTAATTACAAGAGCCAGTTTTTATAATAAGGATTATGCGAGAACTTTTATTAGGTCACAACCTTGACAGCCTGATTTAGTGTCAAAAGATATTTTGCAAATGGAATTAATTTCACATAATCTTTGCAATACAAGAGTATTTAAATATGACTTCACAGTGCAAAAAGAGAAACCAAAGCATTTTGCTTGAGAAGAAAAGCTCTGTTTCTGTTCGAACATGGCTGTTTGTCTTGTCTCGAAGCTTAGAATAACTTAATAGTCGCATGCACACATATTTCTACATAAGTTGCACACATGCGCACACACACAAAACAGAAACGACGTAATGCAACCCGTACAGTTTCACTGCAGCAGTATTGCAGGACCTCCGAGGTCCTGAAGTTCTTGTGTTTTTACAGAGCCCCAAAGAGCTGTCAAGATCCCATAAAAGCCAAAACAGCAGCCTGTGATGAGGAACCTCATCGAGTCTTAATGTTAAAGCTGTACGTTTTTACAGCACAAGACACAGGAATGTACCACAGCCCTGTGCTACTGACATATTTACATTGTAATCAGCCCCAGTATTTCACACACTATAGATTTCAGTGGGCCTGATGTAAAATCATTACTACTGTTCATTGTAAAACAAGTTTGTTCTTTTTCTGTTTTTTACACTGCATTATTTTTAAGGGGACATGACTTCTTCTAAGGCAATAGATTTGAATAGAACAATAGAAAATCATTTTAGTTGATGATTGCTTTTTGAATTATGGAAGCCTGTTTCTTCTACAGAATAAAACAATAAAAAAAGTAATTGCAACTTTTTATCTCACAATTCTGGCTTTTTTTTGTCACAATTCTGAGAAAAAGAGTTATAAACTCTGAATTCGGACTTTTTTCTTGCAAATATGAGTTTATATCTTGCAATTAAATTTTTTTCTCAGATATATGAGTCTACATCTCACAATTATGACTTTTCTCTTTGAATTCTGAGTTTACATCACGCAATTCTGTTTTTTGTTCATGCCACAAAATAAAAAATAAAGATAACTGCCACTTTTTATCTTACAATTTTGGCTTTTTCTTTCTTTCTCACTATTCCAAGTTTAAATCTCACAATTCTAACTTTATATCTCGCAATTCTTAGTTGCAAGAAAAAAGTCAAAATTGTGAGATAAAAAGTCACCTTTTTTTTTTAATCTCAGAAACAAGCTTCCATATTGAAGCTAATGTCTCAACAGACTTTAAACCTCTTCCACAAGTCGTTAGCTCTGAAAACCAGCCCACATTTCAAAGTTAACCATCCTTGCTTCAGTTAAATGACACAATAGCATGGGCATCAGATTATAGTGACCACGTCTGACATTTTTTGATGCCGATCATGAGCAAAATGACTGTTGATAACTTCAATCATACTGACAGCATTGAAGATGACTGATGATTTTCAGATTCATTGAACATTGATTTTGAAAAAGACAACCTGAATGTTTGTGCCTTTGGAAAGTTTTAAAAGTCAGTTAGGTGGCAGGAGCTGCATTGTATTTTATTTGATCTGATGAGAGCGTATCCATTACAAACTGAAAAGCTGGAGCCATGAACCCCATCTCTGGCACAATGGGTACGGCCAAAGCTCTGCCAGGTTCTCCAACACCACCCTGACCAGCCTCACCGGTGGCTTACTGGAAACCGAAGCGATGGTGGTCCAGATCCACCCACGTCAGTCCACAGAGGACAGACTCGGAGGCTCCTCCAGTGACAGCCAGTCGCCAGCAGGTGGGGTCATGCCCAAGTGGAACCCAGTAATTACAATAAATGTATGGAAGAAGATCAACAACTGATCATGTTGTCTGGAAGCATGTCAAGAAGTCACTTGCCTGATCACAGTTAGGACAGATTGTCATTCACATTTTTTGTTTTATTTTTTACTTTGTTCGCCTAGGTGTGTTTGTGCATGGTCGATAAAGTTTTGAAATGGCCATGTAATGCTTTAATCACTGTGAGCCTTGATTTATAAAGGCTCTCTTGTCCAATCGTGCAGTTTAGTTATTGAACCGTAGGAGTAGTGCAGGCAGTGTTTTGTGTTTGTTTGTGTTCAGTAGTCTGCGGTCAGTTTGGACTGTTTTAGGAGCCGAAGCTATTATGAAATCAGTGGCCAGCTGCATCTGTCCCTCTCATGAGCAAATTATTCTACTTCTTTTGTTTGATGAACGCTGTGTAGATATAATGTTACAGCAAATCTTTAAGCTTATTATTTATAACTTAATTTAGTCTGTGTTCTGAAAGCAAAACCCTTCATGTGGTTGCAAAAGAAAAAATCTTTGCTGTGCTGTAAAGTTTCTTAAAGGATTAGCTCACCCACAAATAAAAATTCTGTTATCGTTTACTCAACATCCATGTTGGTCCAAACCCATAAGCGTTTTTTCCCCCATGGTTCTTTTGCATACAAGAAATAATGACAAAAAGAACAAATAAACTACAAATAACTGCTTTTATTATACTTTCATGGTGATTTTATTGTATTTTATTGTAACTTAATAGACGTTGTCATTATGAACTGTATCCCACAGAAAATGATGACATAATGAGTAAATTATGACATAATGATAATTATATTTTAATTAATTTTTGTATTTCAAGTAAATGTACTTTTAGTAGTTTTTCCAGTTTAAGTTTTACACCTAAAAAAATAATACATATAAAAATATAAAATACTTTAGTATCATTGATATGTCTAATAGATATACTATTATAGTTTTTAGAATTTTTTTATTCTATTTTCATTTTATTTTTGGTAATTTTGTTTGTCATTTTTATTTTCATTTTCTAAATATATCTATAAGATTTTTAAATTAATTTTTATTTATTAGAGTTATTTTGGTACTTCAACTTAAACTAAACAGCAACTAGCAGAAATTAAGAATTTTTTTCAATATTTTATTTTCAGTTGACATTTATTTCATTTCAAATCAAGGATTTTTTTCTTTATTAGTTTTAATTTTAGTTAACAATAATAACCCTGACACAAGAGTGTTTTTTCCATAAAATGGCCATCATATTGAGGCCATAATATTCTTTGCTTTTGGTGTACCTTGTTTTCTTTGACATGAAACACTGACTGAAGAATATATTTTTGCTAAAAGTGACATTTTTGTCACTAAACATAAACCAGCATTTGTCTTTATACAGAAACTGCCATAACAAACCAATTTCATCCTCATGAAAAATCTGGTCTGGTAGTACCAATAATCCAGCAAGAAAAACAAAGTCATTTCAGCCCCTTATAGTTTAATCGAGTTTTTTCCCCCTGCCCTTTCAGGGCCAGGCACCTGTTTAAGGGAACCTTTCCCCAGACTTTGTTATTTTTCATTTTGTTGTACCCTCAGGTTTTCAATCAAACCTTCATTACTAAGCAAACAAATAAGTTCCGGGTCTGTGTGGAGACACAAGTATAGACATGAGATATGAGATTTAAACATGGAGAAGGCTCTCATCCATAATATGCAACGTCTGCACAGGACACTGCAGTCGTGTTGAAGAACGCAAGAGAATCCAGTATAAGGAGTCTGCTAATCTGGTCTCTGAAAGAAAAAAAGAGAAGTGGAGGGGACCATTTAAAGGAAAACAAAAAGACAGCAAGAGAAGCAGAGAAATAAAATATGAAACAGAAACTAGATTTTTATATTTTTCTGAAGAAAATGTGAATGCCCTTGCAAAAATCTTTGGCACTATAATAGATATTTGTAGGTAGTTGCTAGGGTGTTGCTATGTTGTTAGGCTGTTCTAACTAGGGCTGAATAAAGTAATCGATTAAACCAATAATGAAAAACAAATTTAATTGTTGATTAATTAGGTTTGTGTGATGCACACTGAGAAACTCATCAGCATCTATTTACAAAACACACTTTTATGGAAACACACATTTGAAAAATGGCAGATGGCCACAGAGCGAGTTACTGTGGAAAAAGAGCATGATCCAAGCTTTTTTGAATGCTTCAAAGAGGCTAATAAGCAGTTTCATGTCAGTTCCTGTCAGGTACATGTGCTGACACACGCTGCATCTGTCCCTCTCATGAGCAAATTATTCTACTTCTTTTGTTTGATGAACGCTGTGTAGATATAATGTTACAGCAGATCTTTAAGCTTATTATTTATAACTTAATTTAGTCTGTGTTCTGAAAGCAAAACCCTTCATGTGGTTGCAAAAGAGAAAATCTTTGCTGTGCTGTAAAGTTTCTTAAAGGATTAGCTCACCCACAAATAAAAATTCTGTTATCGTTTACTCAACATCCATGTTGGTCCAAACCCATAAGCGTTTTTTCCCCCATGGTTCTTTTGCATACAAGAAATAATGACAAAAAGAACAAATAAACTACAAATAACTGCTTTTATTATACTTTCATGGTGATTTTATTGTATTTGATTGTAATTTAATAGACGTTGTCATTATGAACTGTATCCCACAGAAAATGATGACATAATGAGTAAATTATGACATAATGATAATTACATTTTAATTAATTTTTGTATTTCAAGTAAATGTACTTTTAGTAGTTTTTCCAGTTTAAGTTTTACACCTAAAAAATAATACATATAAAAATATAAAATACTTTAGTATCATTGATATGTCTAATAGATATACTATTATAGTTTTTAGAATTTTTTTATTCTATTTTCATTTTATTTTTGGTAATTTTGTTTGTCATTTTTATTTTCATTTTCTAAATATATCTATAAGATTTTTTAATTAATTTTTATTTATTAGAGTTATTTTAGTACTTCAACTTAAACTAAACAGCAACTAGCAGAAATTAAGAATTTTTTTCAATATTTTATTTTCAGTTGACATTTATTTCATTTCAAATCAAGGATTTTTTTCTTTATTAGTTTTAATTTTAGTTAACAATAATAACCCTGACAGTATTTTCATTTTTCATAAATGCTCATTCTGACAGCAAGCAAGTCGCAGTTAAACTTCACACATAAAGCTAGCCTGTAATGAAAATTCACCCTATCTATTTTCTAAATGCTTATTATAGATTTTATTGTGAAAAATTAATCCGTGCATGTTTCATGTTCATCAAAACATGTGCATGCACAAACATCAAATGGAAGTCATAGAGCAACAGAGAAAGGCAAGGTCTAAAAATGTTGACTAAAATATTTATTTTATTTAAATATTATATTTATTTTATTTTATTTATTAAATATTGTTTGTTTTTATTTGGAAGTCAAATTTAGCTTTAAAATGGACCATATACAGTATAATTGAATTTACTAAACATTCATGCATTTATGTTTGTGTACAGATTCTTGGAGGAGAACATTAGATGTGGTGGAGTAACCTTTTTTATTTTTTTTTTATTTTATGTTTACAGGAAATAAAATGTTTTTTTAAACAGATTTTTCAAAGATCGTTTTTGGAGGTTGCAAGGTGGTTTGTTCCCCAAGCCATTATGTTATATGATGTAAGAATTTTTTTTTTTTTTTTGCTTGTTTTATGGTCCTCCAGGTAAAACTGTGTCAGATCCCTTAGAAAAGTAGTAGAGCTTCTTTTCTCAACAAGCCGCATGATTGAGGTATCACAGATGTCAACATTTAATCCCTAACCCCAAGGATGAGCACTAGTAATGGTTATGCCCACCTTAGCTAGCCCCACTAACGAGTTAATAAGGCGAATGTAAGAGGAACTGTGCATCAGTGAGTTCTGATCGTTATTAACTGTTTAAGTGTGGATGCTATGATTTATGGTGCTAAAGTGGCCGGAGTAGAAAATGTCACAGCGCATTTCCAGACACATATATCTTGTGGTTTTGCCAGCTTGTTGTTCTGTAGGCTTACATGTTTGATGTGCATTAGAGTTGATACACACATACGTGCACTGGCACACATGGGCATATGCACAGCTCTCTTCCAGCCTCTCTCTGAAGCCCCGTCTTCTGCTGTATTCCTGCATCTTCAGACATCTGCTTTCCATTGCCAGCATCTCTGAAGACTTGAAAACATTAAATGCTGGCACAAGCTCGGTCTCACTCCAGCACTTAATGTTGCACTTAGGTGACTTGAAAGGCAGGAGGCGAGAATTGTAGAAAATGAAGTGTCACCGAAATAAAAAATCACCTAAGATTACCACCAATTACATTTAATAATGGCCTGCCCATCTGCTGATCAGATGCAGGGAGTCCCTGTGGTCCAGTGGTGGGGTTATGGGGCAGGGGGGTTGCACTGTTTCTTCTACTGTATGTTACTGTAAAGCAGTGATTCTTAACTGGTTTTGCTTCACGATTCAAACTTTATTTTGGACATCATGTGAGGGCTCAAACTAGTAATGAAATTGTTAATCAAACAAAATATCAACAAAAAAAATATATTATGGTAATATGCACGATAATATCCTGATAACTGTAATATATAAAAAAACATGTTTACATGAGATTTTAAGTTTTGATGTCAGACGTGCAAAAAGACACACACTAAAACAGTAATAATGTGAAATGTTATTACAATTTAAAATATTAATTTTCTATTTTAATATATTTTAAAGTGTAATTTATTCCTGTGATGGCAAAGCTGAAGCACTCCAGAGTCTTCAGTGTCACATGATCCTTTAGAAATTCTAATATGCTGATTTGGTGCTCAAGAAACATTTCTTATTATTATCAATCATATTATTGAAAACAATATTAATGTGTGAAACATTTTTTCAGGATTCTTTGATGAATAGAGAGTTTAAAAGAACAGAATTTATTTGAAATAGTAATGTTTTAAAACATTATACATGTCTTTACTTTCACTGCCCTGTGGCATTCTAGTTGTGACAATCATTGTCCCCCATAGTCTATTACCCTTATTTGATAAAACAACACTGTTTGAGGTGTGTAAAATGTGCTAAATAATCAACATGACAAAGTGACAATTTTGTAAATGTACCAGTCAAATAATGTGTTATTAATTTCCCCAGTTGTATTTACTGTATATTGTCCCCATACTGTATTAATATATTACCAAATGACAGATAAATTTGCACCAAATAATGTGGAGCTTGATTAGAAGCAGAGACTTTGACTTAACAACAAAATATATTGGAAATGTGATAACTTTTTATAAGTTGACAAGTCTGGATAAGATGGATATATATATGGAAGCATTTGCCATATAAAACAGCTTTGTTATTTGCTCAGAGTCTAAAAGCCTTGTTCTTTTGTACATGTGAAACGAGGATGACAATGGAAGTGTTTTTCTCACTACAGTTCGGTTCTGCTCTGTGATTGTGTTCTTGTGTTTTTGTGAATGAGGCCAGCACATCAGTCTGGTCTTCATCACGGAGCTCTGCTTTGCCCTCAGGTGTTATTGGCTCCGCACAGCAGTGATCTCACACCCAAGATTGTCATTCCTTAATAGTTTCTGAATGCTTGCAAACCTGCTCCCTCTGCTCCCATTTGGTCAAGGATCAGAGATCTTCTAAGAGCGCTGGAGAAAAATCCTCTGTGTTCTGTCTGTCCTCCAGGTATAGATGAGAGCCAATGTGTTCTTCGTCCTTCATCCTTTTCAGTTTGATTTCACTGTGTGAGAAACGGATAAGAAGTCTGGGGAAAAAGCTCTTTTGAAGGTTTCTATTATATATATCAAGAATATATATATACAGTATATATTTTATGAAGTATAATTTCCGCATCTGGGTAATTGACATAAAGCATTGCTGTGCTTCATATTTCAAGCAGCATTTGAATAATTCTTCTATAATTCTATTATTCTATTCCATTATTGGCTGCAATATAACAAAGAGTGAAAAATTTAAGGGGGTCTGAATACTTTCCGTACCCACTGTATGTGTATATATATATATATTATTTTGGAAAAAGGAAATGTATTATTGTGGCAGATGCAGTTTTGAATCTGGTCTCCCAATAATTTCCTTTCTACTGTCTTTTATCAATGAAAAGTGGAATAAACCCCTTAAACAATACTTTAGAATACAAGAAAACATAAATTCAGTCATGCATCTGATGATAGTAGGCTGTGGGTTCCATTCTTGCCTGAGCAATAAAATCTCTCTCTTTCTCTTTTTCTTTTTGTCCCAGCTTTCACAACTGGTTCTTTCACAGACCTTCTGACCAAAACCAAGTGCAATACCCAAAAGTGAATTACTATTGCAAATTCAATATAAATCCAATCTAACATTCTGTCCAAGTTTCCAAACGTGGAGGAGCTTCTCGTATGTAGCCTTGCCATAACTAATTCTGTTAATGTAACAAAGGATCATATCTTTAAACGTCTCCCATAATTCTCTCCGTATAGAGCAAGGCTTTTAATGCAAACTTGGATCTGAATTGATGTAACTTGGCAGAACGTTTTTGGGGTTGGACAATAATACATTAAAAGAAGCAAATGGAGTGTGAAGTATTCTGATACTGAGCCATTTGCCTCATCTTCTGCAGGTTGGATGTGCACATTTCTGTATTGCACAAGATTGTTGATTGGAGACAATCACCTTCACCAAAGGCATATCATCTGCTATTCATGTCTGTTTTTATGCTTGTTATCAAAAGTGCCTCGAAGGTTCTATTGTTATTTTGAAAAAGAAGAAGACCTCATGGTTGCTTAAATAGCTGTTTTGGGGGTTAAAGGGTCTTAGCTAAAGGGCTAACAGCAAAACTGTTTTCACAAGCTGCCTCTTGTGGCAAGAATTGCATCCCAGATATGATATTGAGCAATTTTGAAAATCTGTAAAACAGATTGGTGTCGAAAATTCCTGTGGCTTCTGGTTATATTCTCTCTGCACCTCACATCAGCAGTATAGTTTAACTCTACTTGACTTTGTGGCATTTGAAGGCGTCTTGTGAAACCGATTATCAGTGTCATATACAGGAATCAAGCCTAAAATAAGTTTAAGATATATCATTTCTATATAAAAATTAGCTCAAAGCATAGTAGGGATACATGCTAAGGGACACAAGGATAGGAGGACGTAATTAAAAGAATGTTAGTTTTAGTGTGAAACAAACTATTCCAACGTCATTGACAAACAAATATATATATACAGTATATAGTAATATATTTTAATATATTTATTAGGGTATTATAATAGCATTATATATATATATTTTTTTTTTTGAGTCACAGATCTGACTATTTTTAAGCAAGTAAAAAAATATTTTTGGACATTTTTTGGACATAGACTAATTTTATGTGTATGTATACGCAACTCGGTATTTCCGCGCTGTCTGAAACATGTCTCTATGCTTGTGCGCACTTTGATTGTGTGCGAGAACAGCGCGTGAGTAACGAATTGTGCTCTCTTTCGTTTCTTCTTCTTGTGGTTTAAAATTGCTTGTACGTGTAAATTGGCAAATTAATCTGCGAATCATGTTCGTGCCGAACGGTAGGGTCTCATCCATAGGCCTACGTATTACGGATCAACTGCAATCCGTTTAACTCCTAATATGTGACAGATCAGAGCAATCTTTCATTTACTTATTTAACATGAAATTGTCTAATTGCTATACAAATAAATAACAGAGTGTCATATCTATACACATTTTTCCCAAAACGTTCTTGTGACCCTGTAGCTATTCTTCCACGGCTATTCTTTCCAGTGGGTAGCGACCCGGTGGTTGGGGACCTCTGTCTTAGATGAAGCAAGAAAACCCTGGCTTTAGCTCAGCGAGCAGTGATGTTATACACAAACAGTTTGACATTCCAACTGTGAGATTTCCAAGCCAAGAAAAAATGATCCAAGATTTAATAAACAGCCATTATAGTTCTTTGAAAACTAGAATGGATGTGAAAAAGTGTGTTTCTTCTGTTTGTAGAGTTGAGTGGATCCAGCATGTGCTTTACAGGACCTGCGTGTCTTGTGGCCTTCTTCTCCATAGTTTTTTTTCTCTTTCCCTAATTTCTTCTTGCCTCTCAACACTCATTTCTTTGTTCCCCCTCACAATTTTTATTAAATTTTTTTTGCTTTAAAGCAATTACTTGTCACCTTCTCATTTTGTGTACTAGGAAACAATATCTTACCGAATATCCTTTGTCTTTGGTTTGGCTTTAACCACATGTTTAGATGCAGACTCCATTGGGTGTTGCATTATTAATATCATCATTGTGAGCAAATTACATTTCTGAAATTGAGTTAGTCAAAAACTTGAAAGATGCGGTCACCCACACTGGACTCAAAAAGAGTGTCAGCTTTCCTTCTGGAAATATTTTCAAACACTATGAAACCATATTAATCTTTATTTTGATTACATTTGCTACACTCAGTTTAAAAGTTCTCCTTGTGCAATGGCACCAACTGTGTCTCACTTGCCAAATAAACATGATATGTTGATTTGAGTTAGAAATATTGGCCAATTGAGTATTCCAGAAAGTTGTGCAATGAGTTTAAAAGATTGGTAAATGGTTTCAAAATCTGTAAATGTTAATATAGCTATTGTATTTTCCACCTGTTTCAGTGAATGGAGGATGTATCTCATTCTGTTCAGAGAAGGAGAGCACTCCTGAGTTGACAGCAGAAGAAGGAACCTTGCTGCGCTGTGGACATAACCTGACAGTTCAGCCTGGAGCCCAGTACCACCACAGTAGCCATTGTGAACAGCCCACACAGAACCTTCACCTGCAGGAAAGCCCCCACCGAGACGCCAGGTAAGACTCCCAGCACAACACTTGGACTTGGAGAACTTACTTTTATGTCTGAAAAAGTAACTAAATGTGCTATTTAAAATGTTGTTTAAATATATTTTGAACATTTGCTAAGCATTCACATTTCACTTTTGACTTGGAAATGAACAAATAATCTACTACAGGTCTGATCTACATTACATTGACAAAACTGTGAAAGATCTGTGAAAATTATTATTAAATATATTATTAATATATTATTAAATGATTATTATAATTTATGTGTATTAATATTCATGAGTGAAGCATTCCTATTTTGTGAAATCACAACCAGCAACTTTGAATGCACTTCCTTCTACTTACACTATTAGTCAAAAGTTTGGGGTCAGTAAGATTTATTTATTTATTTGTTTAAATAAATTAATGCTTTTATTAAGCAAGGCTGGATTAAATTGTTCAAAAGTGACAGTAAAGACATTTATAGTTTTACAAAAGATTTCTAAAAATACAGATTTCTATTTCAAATAACTGCTGTTCTTTTGAACTTTCTATTCATCAAAGGATCCTGAAAAAAATGGGCCAATATCATAGTTTCAGCATATTAAAATGATTTCTGAAGGACCATGTGATACTCAAGACTGGAGTAATGGCTGCTGAAAATTCAGCTTTGCCATCACAGGAATAAAATACATTTTAAAATATATTAAAATAGAAAATAGTTATTTTAAATTGTAATAGTATTTCACAATATTACTGTTTTTACTCTATTTTTGTTCAAATAAATGCAACTTTGGTGGACATAAGAAATGTCAGTCAAAAACATTACAAAATCTTTCCGATTCTTAACTTTTGAATGGTATATTAGTGCCATTATTAATTAAAAGACAAACAAGTATTTGCTTTTGCTTTTTGTCCTCTGAGACATCCAGGATTAGCAGTTCATGTGAGTGATTGTACGACAGAAAAGGACACCCATTAAACACATTGTTCAAAATATAAAGTTGTATACTAGGATCTAGTAAAGTGCATGTAAAGCATTTAATATTGCAATTTTATAGTCCTGCTAATTACATTAAAAATGTAAACACATATCTGCAAAGCAAATAATGTTTTTTTTATAAAGCTTAATGTAGTGCGGAACAAGTCAACCAAGCTAGTCAAACACTGCAGTACTGATGGCGCTTATTGGCTGTATTTATTTTTTAAACGGCTAGGAAAAGAGACTGCCGTTGGTTTCTTTTGGCTTCTGTGTAGCCGCAGTACAGTTGAAACCCATAGTTTCAGCGAGGGATGCTATCCAAAGTGCTTTCACTCAAACATGCCATCTAACTCTCCCAATACTGTCGCTGAATGTCACTGCTTCAGCCAAACAGGAAGTGGTGAGCCTGAATGGAGTGACTCATGACAAACTTGAGGCTTCAGCTCAGCCAGTGCGCTAGCATTAGTGATTTCCTGCACCAAGTGAAAAGGGGACTTAGACAAAATCTTTCATAGGTTGCTGGGACAGAGGGCCCTTCTCACATCATTCCAGAGCTTTGCGCACAAATCCATAATGAGCAAACTGACAGGAATTATTATGTGGAAGATCACAGCGACGCACTGGGAAATATGACCCCCATTCAAGGGGGGCAAAGATTCCCACTATAATGGGGAGTATTGTAAACACAGAGCGTTTAGAGGCCCACCATTATACCGCCAAAACCAGGTGGCTTCTATTTAGCTAACATGTAGCCTTCGGTTAACTCCTATTACCGACCATTCGCTTCCCATGCCCACCTCCCCCTGCCTGTATTCATCTCTCTCTTTACTTATTTTTAAATACCCATTCATAACTATAGTTCAGGCCAAATTTCCTGCATCATTTATTCATGGAATTGCTCGGGAGCGTTTGTGGTGGATATAACCAGTGTTTAAAATACACCACAGGGGAAACCCATCCAATGGATGTTTCCTGAGAGAGAGAGGAACATAAAAAGTAGCTTCTGATTTACTCAAACCAAACATTATAACCTAATAAGATTCTGTAAGGGTTTGCAAAATGATTCTCCAATCGTGCTGCTTTTGGTCTAACATTGTCAGTGTTAACAGAGATGTTTGAGAGTGCAGGTTTGCCAGGACCAGAGCACAGAGCTTGTTTGTTCCTGCGGTATCTGACAGTGCAGAGTTGGCAGCACTTTGAGAAGCCCTGGCCTTTATCTTTCAACAGGCCGGGCCGCTAATAGCGTGCATATTCTTTCTGCTCCGTTCTGCCTAAATGCTCCTCATATTCCTCTGGGTGTGTTTCATTCTCCCGCAGGTCTGCTGGCTTTCAGACGGATCTCAGCTCGTCATCTCTGTCCGGCGGCATCAATAGGTGTCATGCGTTGCTGTCGTACCCCATCAAACAGGAGGGCTACAAGCTGGGATCGGCCCTGGGCGACTTTTCAGGAGGGATGGGAGCAGGTCGCAGGGAACTGGACCGTCCGAGCAGTGGTGGTGGTGGTGGTGAAGGTAACTTAGCAACAGTTCTGTCGTTGTCGGCAATGGCAGTGACTGTGTATCCATTTAATAATGAAGATGGCTCCTCCCCGCTTGCTTTGTCCCTGAGCTCGCGTCACTCAGCAAGGCCGAATGCGAGCGGACTGAAGAAACGCTGCCTCTCAGTGGACTCCCAGTCATCCACACAGGGAATCGATATTGCCAGAAACATCTGCTCCTCCCAGATGTCCTGCGTTAACGGCCTGCGCACCAATTCATCGTCGCCTAACGCCGCCACGTTCTCCCACAAGCCTCTCCCCACACCCAGCCCTCAGCTGCCTTCACCTTCCAGCTCGTCCTGCCTCCTTCCCCTCTCCTCTTCGTCCTCGTCCTCCACGGTGTCGCCGGTGGAGCATTGTGAGGACGTAGGCTCCATGCAGCCGGGGCCCGGCGTGGGTAGCTGCGATGGGCTTGGACTTCTCATACAGCCCGGCGTTGTGCTGGACAGCTGTATGCCGACACTGAAACAGGAACCGGTGGATGAGTTCTCTCCAAGTGAGGAGGAGCTCTTTCAGCATCACTATCACCATCTGACGAGCCACGGAAGCCACTGCGGTGGGCATTCCCACCAGCACCACCACCATCATCACCAAACAGGCCCCCCACGGCCACCCATGCCCCCTCCCTACCACCTGCACCAGTACATGGGCTCCGGCCCAGGAGCTCTACTGAATCTTCAGAGCCAGCAACAGTCTCCACCCTCAGGCCTGCTGGCACCACCCAAGCCCACAGGCCTGGTCGAACAGCAGGTGTGCGACAGGGAGGATGTATTTAGCGATAAGCAGGTATGCCGATGGATTGACTGTAGCGTGGCGTATGAGCAGCAGGAGGAGCTGGTTAGGCATATTGAGAAGGTCCACATCGACCAGCGCAAGGGCGAGGACTTCACCTGCTTTTGGGCCGGATGTGTCCGGCGCTACAAACCCTTCAACGCCCGCTACAAATTGCTCATCCACATGAGGGTTCACTCTGGAGAGAAACCCAACAAATGCATGGTGAGTATCTACCATTTTTGCTGGCTGTCAAAAGTGCACAATTTCCAGCGGTTCCCCATAATGAAATTCATAGAGGTGATTATAGTTGGCAGCTGAATTGGCCTTGAAAATGCATACGCAGTATTTCGGACTGAATGGTTTTTGTTGGAATCCTCATTGGCTTTAATTTTATAAATGTTTTCACTTCAATTTTGCTGAATAAAAATATTACTTCTTCTTCTTAAAAAAAAAAAACCTTACATAAGCCTTAAAAAATCATACAAAATTTTAAATCTGACCCTATACTTCTGAACTGTGTAGAAAGTAAAATCAGTGAGCAAAAAAAGAAAAGTTTTTATTTTCTTTTTATATAATTGATATAATTGATGCAAGTTTGTGCAAACACACTCATACGCTGAAAATATGCAAAGTGAACATGACAAATTGACAGTTTTCTAAATTTATATTAATCAAATATTGTGTTTTTAATTTCCCCAAATATTTTGTAACCATATTAACCAAATGACAGATGAATTTGCACCAAATAAAGCAGAGCTTGATAGGAAGCAGAGAGTCTGATGTCAACAAAATATATGGGAAGTGTTTTGACAAGTCTGAATAAGATGGATATATAGCATGGGAGTGTTTGTCATATAAAACACCTTTGTTATTTGCCCAGAGTCTAAAAGCCTTGTTCTTTTGTACACGTGAAACGAGGATGACAATGGAAGTGTTTTTCTGCTCTGTGATTGTGTTCTTGTGGGCCAGCACTCCAGTCTGGTCTTCATCACGGAGCTCTGTTTTGCCCTGAGGTATTATTGGCACCGCACTGCAGTGATCTCACACCCAAGATTGTCATTCCTTAATAGCTTCTGAATGCTTGCAAACCTGCTCCCTCCTTTACCCTGGCTTACATTTGGTCAAGGATCAGAGATCTTCTAAGAGAGCTGAAGAAACATCCTCTCTGTGTTCTGTCTGTCCTCCAGGTATAGATGAGAGCCAATGTGTTCTTCGTCCTTCATCCTTCTCAGTTTGATTTCACTGTGTGAGATACAGACAAAAAGTCTGGGAGAAAAAGCTCTTTTGGAGGTTGCTATTGTGTATATATATCAAGACTTTTTATGACGTATCATGTCCGCATCTGGATAGTTGACATAAAGCATTGCTGTGCTTCAGCCTGCAGCCGTGCTTCATATTTCAAGCAGCATATTTATAATTGTTCTGTAATTATATTATAATATTATATTATATTATATACTTCTAAAAATATATATTTGATTTTCAAATGGCACTTTCATAGAGAATTAATTTTTTTTATTGAAAAATGCAATTTAGTATTGTGGCAGATTGGCCTCCCCTAAAATCCCTTTTCTACTGTCTCTATCAATGAAAAGTGGGATAAAATCCTTAAACAACATTTTATAATACAAGAAAACATAAATTCGGTCATGCATCTGATGATACCAATGTTTTAAGTACAAGAAGGCTGTGGGTTCCACTGCTCTCAGAGCATTACAATCTGTCTCTTTATTTTTTCTCTCTCTCTTTTTCTCTTTGTCCCAGCTTTCACAACAGGAGCTTTCACAGACTCCCACCTTCTGACCAAAACCAAGTGCAATACCCAGAAGTGAATTACCATTGCAAATTCAATATAAATCCAATCTAACATTCTGTCCAAGTTTCCAAATGTGGAGGAGCTTCTCTTATGCAGCCTTGCCATGACTAATTCTGTTAATGTAACAAAGCATCATATCTTTAAACCTCTCCCATAATTCTCTCCGTATAGAGCAAGGCTTTTAATGCAAACTTGGATCTGAATTGATGTAACTTGGCAGCACTTTTTTGGAATTGGACAATGATACATTAAAAGAAGCATATGGAGTGTGAAGTATTCTGATACTGAGCCATTTGCCTCATCTTCTGCAGGTTGGATGTGCACATGTCTGTGTTGCACAAGCGCATCGATTGGGGACTATCGTCTAAACTCCAATCATCACCTTCAGCAAAGGCATTTCATCTGCTATTCATGATCGTTTTTATGCTTGTAATCAAAAGTGCCTCAAAGGTTCTACTGTTATTTTGAAACAAAAAAGCATATTTGTGTCATCTGTTTCTCATGGTTGCTTAAATAGCTATTTTGGGGGTTAAAGGGTCTTAGCTAAATGGCTCACAGCGAAACTGTTTTCACAAGCTGCCTCTTGTGGCAAGAATTGCATCCCAGATATGATATTGAGAAATTTTGAAAATCTGTAAAACAGATTTGTGTTGAAAATTCCTGTGGCTTCTGGCTATATTCTCTCTGCACCTCACATAAGCAGTATAGTTTACCTCTACTTGACTTTGTGGCATTTGAAGACGTCTTGTGAAACCAATTATCAGTGTTACATACAGGAATCAAGCCTAAAATAAGTTGAACATGTATCATTTCTATTTAAAATGAGCTCACAGCATAATAGCTTTCTAAGGGACGAAAGAACAGGAGGACGTAATTAAAAGAATGTTAGTTTTAGTGTGAAACAAACTATTCCAATGTCATTGACAAACCTCTCAATCCTCTCCAGATGAAGCAAGAAAGCCCTGGCTTTAGCTCAGCGAGCAGTGATGTTATACACAAACACAGTTTGACATTCCAACTGTGGGATTTCTAAGCCAAGAAAAAAATTGTCCAAGATTTAATAAACAACCATTATTGTTCTTTGAAAACTAGAATGGATGTGAAAAAGTGTGTTTCTTCTGTTTATAGAGTTATCCAGCATGTGCTTTACAGGACCTGCGTGTCTTGTGACCTCCTTCTCCATCATTTCTTTTTCTCTTTCTCTCATTTCTTCTCGCCTCTCAACACTCATTTCTTTGTTTCCCTCACAATTGTTTGCTTTATAGCAATTACTTGTCACCTTTTCATTTTGTGTACTTGGAAACGATATCTTACCGAACCTCCTTTGTCTTTGGTTTGGCTTTATCCACATGTTTAGATGCTGGTTTTGATCAGACTCCACTGGGTGTTGCATTATTAATATCATCATTGCGAGCAAATTCAATTTCTAAAATTGAGTTAGTAAATAACTTGAATAATGTGGTCCCCCACACTGGACTCAAAAAGAGTGTCAGCTTTCCTTCTGGAAATATTTTCAAACACTATGAAACCGTATTTTGATTACATTTGCTACACTCAGTTTGAGAGTTCTCCCTATGCAATGACATTGACTGTGTCTCATTGTTAAAATGAAGTACTACAGAAAGTCATGCAATGGGTTTAAAAGATTGGTGAATGGTTTTAAAAATCTGTAAATGTTAATATAGCTGTTGTATTTTCCACCTCTTTCAGTGAATGGGGGATGTATCTCATTCTGTTCAGAGAAGGAAAGCACTCCTGAGCTGACAGCAGAAGGAAACTTGCTGCGCTGTAGACAGAACCTGCCAGTTCAGCCTGGAGCCCAGTACCACCACAGCAGCCACTGTGAACCACCCACACAGAACCTTCACCTGCAGGAAAGCCCCCATCGAGACACCAGGTGAGACTAGCACAGCACAACACTTGGACTGATCAATAAGAATAGTTGCCCTCTGATAACTTTTTATGACTAAAAAAGTAAATGAATGTGCTATTTAAAATATATATTGAACATTTGCTAAGCATAATGTTATTTCATTCAATTTTGACTTGGAAATGAGCTATAATCTACTACAGATCTGATGTACATTACATTGACTGTTTATTTGATGAAACAGTGAAAGATCTTAGTGATTTATGCATAGTCTAATTAATATTCATGAGTGAAACATTGCTATTTTGTGACATGACAACCAGCGATTCCTCCTACTTACACTACCATTCAAAAGTTTGGGGTCAGTGAGATTGATTAATTAATTTATTTATTCGTTGGTTGGAAAGAAATTAATGCTTTTATTAAGCAAGATAGCATTCATTTGTTTAAAAGCAGGTCGCAGGGAATTGGACCGTCCGAGCAGTGGTGGCGGCCCAACATTTATTTTTAAAAGTGACAGTAAAGACATTTATATATTTACAAAAGATTTATAAAGATACATTTGTGACCATGGACCACAAAACCAGTCATAAGGGTCAATTTTTCGAAAATAATATTTATACATCATCTGAAATCTGAATAAATAAGCTTTCCATTGGTGTATGGCTTGTTAGGATAGGACAATATTTGGCTGAGATACAATTATTTGAAAATCTGGAATCTGAGGGTGCAAATAAAAATCAAAATATTGAGAAAATCGCATTTAAAGTTGTCCAAATGAAGTTCTTAGCAATGCACATTACTAATCAAAAATTAAGTTTTAATATATTTACAGTAGGAAATGTAAAAAATATCTTCATGGAACATGATCTTTACTTAATATCCTAATGATTTTTGGCATAAAAGAAAAATCAATAATTTTGACCCATACAATGCGTTTTGGCTATTGCTACAGATATACCTGTGTTACTTATCACTGGTTTTGTGGTCCAGGGTCACATATTTATATTTCAAATAAATGTTGTTCTTTTGAACTTTCTATTTATCAAAGAATCCTGAAAAAATCGGGCCAATATCATAGTTTCAGCATATTAAAATTATTTCTGAAGGATCATGTGATACCGAAGACTGGAGTAATGGCTGCTGAAAATTCAGCTTTGCACTCAAAGGAATAAAATACATTTTAAAATATATTAAAATAGAAAATAGTTATTTTAAATTGTAATAGTATATCACTATATTACTGTTTTTACTCTATTTTTGATCAAATAAATACAGCCTTGTTGAGCATAAGAAACGTCTGTCAAAAACATCTTACTGATCCTTAACTTTTAAATGGTATATTAGTACCATTATTAATGAAAAAACAAACAAGTATTTGCTTTTTGTTCTCTGAGACGTCCAAGATTAGCAGTTCATGTGAGTAGGATCTAGTAAAATGCATGTAAAGCATTTAAGATTGCAATTTTATAGTCCTGCTAATTACATTAGAAATGTAAACTCATATCTGCAAAGCAAATAAAGCAGGTTGTTTAATAAAGTAGTGCGGAATAAGTCAAACAAGCTAGTAAAACACTGCAGTACTGATGGCGCTTATTGGCTGTATTTATTTTTTAAACGGCTAGGAAAAGAGACTGCCGTTGGTTTCTTTTGGCTTCTGTGTAGCCGCAGTACAGTTGAAACCCATAGTTTCAGCGAGGGATGCTATCCAAAGTGCTTTCACTCAAACATGCCATCCAACTCTCCCAATACTGTCGCTGAATGTCACTGCTTCAGCCAAACAGGAAGTGGTGAGCCTGAATGGAGTGACTCATGACAAACTTGAGGCTTCAGCTCAGCCAGTGCGCTAGCATTAGTGATTTCCTGCACCAAGTGAAAAGGGGACTTAGACAAAATCTTTCATAGGTTGCTGGGACAGAGGGCCCTTCTCACATCATTCCAGAGCTTTGCGCACAAATCCATAATGAGCAAACTGACAGGAATTATTATGTGGAAGATCACAGCGACGCACTGGGAAATATGACCCCCATTCAAGGGGGGCAAAGATTCCCACTATAATGGGGAGTATTGTAAACACAGAGCGTTTAGAGGCCCACCATTATACCACCAAAACCAGGTGACTTCTATTTAGCTAACATGTAGCCTTCGGTTAACTCCTATTGTGTCATCAAAGCCTGTCATACGTTGAGTATGACAGCCTGCCTGTATTCATCTCTCTCTTTACTTATTTTTAAATACCCATTCATAACTATAGTTCAGGCCAAATTTCCTGCATCATTTATTCATGGAATTGCTCGGGAGCGTTTGTGGTGGATATAACCAGTGTTTAAAATACACCACAGTGGAAACCCATCCAATGGATGTTTCCTGAGAGAGAGAGGAACATAAAAAGTAGCTTCTGATTTACTCAAACCAAACATTATAACCTAATAAGATTCTGTAAGGGTTTGCAAAATGATTCTCCAATCGTGCTGCTTTTGGTCTAACATTGTCAGTGTTAACAGAGATGTTTGAGAGTGCAGGTTTGCCAGGACCAGAGCACAGAGCTTGTTTGTTCCTGCGGTATCTGACAGTGCAGAGTTGGCAGCACTTTGAGAAGCCCTGGCCTTTATCTTTCAACAGGCCGGGCCGCTAATAGCGTGCATATTCTTTCTGCTCCGTTCTGCCTAAATGCTCCTCATATTCCTCTGGGTGTGTTTCATTCTCCCGCAGGTCTGCTGGCTTTCAGACGGATCTCAGCTCGTCATCTCTGTCCGGCGGCATCAATAGGTGTCATGCGTTGCTGTCGTACCCCATCAAACAGGAGGGCTACAAGCTGGGATCGGCCCTGGGCGACTTTTCAGGAGGGATGGGAGCAGGTCGCAGGGAACTGGACCGTCCGAGCAGTGGTGGTGGTGGTGGTGAAGGTAACTTAGCAACAGTTCTGTCGTTGTCGGCAATGGCAGTGACTGTGTATCCATTTAATAATGAAGATGGCTCCTCCCCGCTTGCTTTGTCCCTGAGCTCGCGTCACTCAGCAAGGCCGAATGCGAGCGGACTGAAGAAACGCTGCCTCTCAGTGGACTCCCAGTCATCCACACAGGGAATCGATATTGCCAGAAACATCTGCTCCTCCCAGATGTCCTGCGTTAACGGCCTGCGCACCAATTCATCGTCGCCTAACGCCGCCACGTTCTCCCACAAGCCTCTCCCCACACCCAGCCCTCAGCTGCCTTCACCTTCCAGCTCGTCCTGCCTCCTTCCCCTCTCCTCTTCGTCCTCGTCCTCCACGGTGTCGCCGGTGGAGCATTGTGAGGACGTAGGCTCCATGCAGCCGGGGCCCGGCGTGGGTAGCTGCGATGGGCTTGGACTTCTCATACAGCCCGGCGTTGTGCTGGACAGCTGTATGCCGACACTGAAACAGGAACCGGTGGATGAGTTCTCTCCAAGTGAGGAGGAGCTCTTTCAGCATCACTATCACCATCTGACGAGCCACGGAAGCCACTGCGGTGGGCATTCCCACCAGCACCACCACCATCATCACCAAACAGGCCCCCCACGGCCACCCATGCCCCCTCCCTACCACCTGCACCAGTACATGGGCTCCGGCCCAGGAGCTCTACTGAATCTTCAGAGCCAGCAACAGTCTCCACCCTCAGGCCTGCTGGCACCACCCAAGCCCACAGGCCTGGTCGAACAGCAGGTGTGCGACAGGGAGGATGTATTTAGCGATAAGCAGGTATGCCGATGGATTGACTGTAGCGTGGCGTATGAGCAGCAGGAGGAGCTGGTTAGGCATATTGAGAAGGTCCACATCGACCAGCGCAAGGGCGAGGACTTCACCTGCTTTTGGGCCGGATGTGTCCGGCGCTACAAACCCTTCAACGCCCGCTACAAATTGCTCATCCACATGAGGGTTCACTCTGGAGAGAAACCCAACAAATGCATGGTGAGTATCTACCATTTTTAGCTGTCTGTCAAAAGTGTACAATTTCCAGTGGTTCCCCATAATGAAATTCATAGAGTTGATTATAGCTGGCAGCTGAAATGGCCTTGAAAATGCATAAGCAGTATTTCGGAGTGAATTGTTTTTGTTGGAATCCTCGTTGACTTTAATTTGAGTGGAAAGTTGGGGAAACCAAACACCGGTATAATTATTTTTAATTAAGCAGGTCAGTTTTAAAATAAATTTTTAAGTATGTATTATCAACAGAGGACAAATAACTCTTTCATTAGGCTTTATTAAACCAAATTTCTTTCTAAAGGCCCCATTAAAGTTTTTTTTTTACAAATCTATTATTTTTTAATTTTGTGTCTGTTTTATTTAAGGAATATATTTGGAAGTTCTCTCCAAGCTTCATTTTTTGTAACAGCTTTCAAGGGACCACCTATGCCTATTTTCCTCAGCGTTTATTTTTCTTTCACAACCATATCGCATGGCATGAGAAATTATGATTTCAACTGAAAGTACAGCTAACATTTCCACTGACGGGTTTGGGTATTTAATTGGACCTGTAGTCTAGCTGTATAAATAGTGTTGTGGTGAAACCCAAGAAATCCAGGTAAAACTCTCTGATTCCACAAGTCAATACACTAATCAATGTCAAAGTGCCTTTTCTAACATTCTCAGCTCAAGTGGAAAAATGGCTCCAGCCCCACCAATGCGTAAGTCCAAATACACAATTAGTCCACAATTTGTGTAGGGTGAAACTCTGTTTATTTTCTTAAGATCTCTTTCTCTCTGTCTGTCTTTCTGTCTTTTCCTTTTTAAAAAAGTGAAATGATTGAGATCTAAAAAAAAAAAAAAACTCTACACATCTGTATAACATAACCAAACAATGCATGCACTTGATCCCTTTAAATAGGAGGTTTAAACGTTTAGCCGTCCCACAAGTATTAAGAGAATTGTCTCTTTTATCCAAACTAAACACTTGGAAAAATGTAGTAGTCTGTAAGAGCGGAGCCGCAGAGGAGATGACAGCAAAATTCCCCTCTATTGCTCAATCGGAGAATGTTGGATTTCTTGTCAGATACATTCAATTTTATATACAAGATTCTGTCCAAAAATACTTTTATTTTATAGATACTATAACAGCTTGTTTTGAAGTCGGCCTATTCCTCTAAATCCCGGGATACCTTTTTGTATCCAAATTATCTGTTTAACCGTGTCAATAGGAGACAGCTGTACTCTAATATGCGGAGTATGTTACAAGGGTAGCATTGAGTAATTCTGTTGAGGTTATTAATGACAAGTTTTGTTTATTCTCAAGAAGATGTTGGTTTACTCTGAGCTGACAGCAGCTGGACTGACAGATGTAATTAGATCATGCAAATTCCTTCAAATCCATGCAACTACATTTTCGGCATTGCTACGCAGTCTGCAGCATAAACTTGGTGGTTCTGGAAATCATTTTCGTAACTCATGGCTTTTGTTGTTGTATATATGTATTTGAGTATTATTGTTTTTTAAATAGCATAATCTCTCTCTTTTTCTCACTTGCTCGTACTTGTACAACAGTGCTATAAGAGTTCTATTCTTACTTTCAAAACTCTGCCCAGAGTATGTGGCAAGAGCCCTGGTGTCACAACCTGTCAGAACAAACAAACACTCATTTTTATTCACGGCGATGCCAAGCAGATGCTAAGATAGGAACAAACCCATGTATTGTTGTAAAATGGCTGGACATTGTCTCTGGATGTAGTGAGGGCCTCTCACTGAGTCAACTCTGTTCAAGTTCAGTCTCTTTTTTTCAGAAAAGGTCAATTTAAGTCAAACGTCAAAGCATTTTCAAATTTAGTGGTTCATTAAATGATTCTCAACTGGCAGTACGTGTTCCCTTGGTAGATTTCAGGAGGTACTTGGAAAGATTTAGATTTTATTTTTGTTTTGTGTTTCAGAAATTGCAACTTAGTGCTTTCAAATATTAATTACTGACATTTAAATTCATTTTTAAGGAAATAAAAATAATGTACAGTATGTAATGTGCTTAAGTTTGAGTGGAATGTAATTGACTTGTAGCAGCATTATTGTGTTACTGGGTGAGTCAATTTTTCACAGTATTGATGTTTTTTTATTTAAAAGTGACTTTAATGATGATATTACTAATGCTAAATGATATAATGCAGGTTTGCAGTTTCATTGCAGTTTTTATGGGAAGCTTTTAATGTACAGACTCAACCAAACAAACTGCGTGATTCAGAATGAAAAAAATCATGATTCATTAAGTACTTTGTAATCATTGGAGAAAAAATAAATATGATATTTAGATTATTTATTTATTTATTTAAATAATTTTTAAATTTTTTATTAATTTAATTTTTTTGATATTTTATGAAAAATAGTATTTATTATTTATTTCACAAAATGGATGAGTGCACATACTTGACTAGTTGACCCTGCTCAGGTTTTGATGTGTTTTCGTTTTTTCCTCCGAATCAAAGCCTTCCTGTGACCTCCGCAAGAAGCAACTTTTGTCTGAAACATGTTGCATTTGTGGCCTTTGCACAATATACGAAGACATTTTGGTATTCTAGCTATTTGTGCAGAGGAAACCGATGAGACGTTTTGATTTAGAAGCAAATGCTTCAGAAAACCCAGCTAATCTCTTTATTATCTTTCCAACTGCAGATTCCTCAAAGAGTGCACGAGGCACAATTCCCCTGCATCCAAACATAACACTCTCTCTCTCTCTCTCTCTCTCTCTCTCTCTCTCTCTCTCTCTGTCTCTCTCTCTCTCTCTCTCTCTCTTTCTTTCTCTCCCTTGCTTTGTGTTCTCTCCCATTTCATTTGTATCATGCAGCACCTTGGCAGGAAAAAGTCATTATCACAAACATAGGACAGGGTTCTGACTCTCTGCTTTGTCACCGTCCATACCTGGACGTGGTTTTATGCCCCGGCACGTAAAAACACAGCTACATCTGCAATCACTGAGCTGGGCAGACCTCTTAAAACTGCTTTGCAGAGTTTGAGAGCCTCTTTTCGGTTCACCCTTTCCAATTAAAAAGTGCCGCAGGCTGTTTTGTGGTAGTTGGAGAGCAGAGGGAGAAAGCATCTAAAAGCAAACAACATAATCTCACTGCAATATCCTGTTGTGTTTCATACCTAATTCAAGTGTTGTTTTAGTTTATTGCTTTTTTTGCCCTTCTTGTCTGCATTAATATTAAAAATGTATCCAGCGACTGCTACCCCGTCACTGTCCCAGGGCTCTTATACGTCAATGCTGTACTGGTTTCAACCCTGGATTTGTATTTCAGATCACCTATCCCAAGACTCATGAAATTCATGTAAATATTCATCAAAGCGTATCTGTTGATAATACTCCGGTTACTTATCCAGTTGATCATGTTTGATGAGCAGATCCATGCTAGAGTGTTGAACATTACTTATTGTTTCTTTAATGAATTCTGGAATGTATTGGTTTAATCTTATGTCATTAATATCTTGGCTTTGGTTTAACGTGCTTGCAGTCGACTTGAGGTTTTCTTGCCATTTTCTGCAGTTTGTGCCTGCTGTGACAGATTAAGAATATGGGCTGTGCTATTCTGTATTTTATGTAGTTAGTGTGTCTTTACTACTGTACTAAACGGTCACTGAGTTCTCATAGTCATAATAACACTATTAATTCCTCTGACCTTTTAGATTTTACTACTTTGGCTTTTCCTGCGTCATCTGTGCTGACATTCATTTAGACATATGTCTGATGCAAAAATGTCTGTGTATATTGGAACCGGATTGTTTAGTGACTTCTTTCTTGCATTTTTTGTCATCTAGTTTTGTTTGTTTGTTTGTTTTTTTAAGAAGAATTTCATGTATTTTCAAAAAGTTTCAACTTTAAAATGATTTAATAAACTATTTTCCTCACATATGGTTTTATTTAATCAGGGGTTGGAAGCCTTTTCAACATGTCATGCCATATTTTTAGTATTTTAATTTATTATTAATATTATTATTAATACATTTATAAAAGTATTTATAATAAAATATAAATAACACATTTATTTATAAAAAACTATTTATTATTATTATTATTAATAGTAATATTAAATGATTAATTATAACAATATTACTGAATTTATACTTTACTCATATCACTCGTTTGCAAAAAATAACACTTCTAAAGTGCCCCTTTTTTTATGTTTCTCATTTGTGAAATATTCAGTTTACAAGATCGCATTTGTAGGGTGTGCAGTTTGAATGTGTGACTTTAATTTTAATGGAGCAGTAAATGTTTCTGAGCAATACACACCCATTTGCTTGCATTTCTCATCTTTGTCGTCGTCACCATCACCAGACAGCTGGTCATTGAACATTTGGTGCGCAAAAAATGTTTTAATTTTTAAATGACATGTTGTAATGTTAAAGGATATTAGGATTTACTTCCTAAACCACACCATGCGGAGCCACCCTTACGACACATTCGTTTCAAAGTTTGAGCATACAGACCGTTACTTGAAGAACAATTGGCTTAAACAACCTGCTGGAAAAAACATAGATCAGGGAATTTCCTTTTTTCCTTTTTGCTAGTGTGAAACCGGCAAACGTATATATAAAGATTTATTAGACTGATTTTTGGACAGGCATTCAGAATTCTCCAGCAGCAGCCTGCCCAGACCTTTGCCAAAATGGCGTGTTTTGGAGTAAATGGAGGCTTTTGTGAGCAATCAACACAGATGCTGGAGATGAAACGGCTAGCGCCATTAACTAATTAAAACGCCTGGCCTGTGCATGAGCTGACTTTTTCCTCTGAATGCACCGCCGAAACCCGAGCTGTCTGAGTTCTGCCCCAGCAAAGGCAGAAAGTGGCATTGATACTAATGTGGATGTACTAGAATGAGCTGCTGACATTACTGCCCTGTCTACTTAATTTAGTAACTGGCAGCTCTCTAAGCCCCGTTATGCTAGCAGGTAGCAACAGTTACCTGCACTGAAGCAGCAGGACTCATGGACTG